TATTTCTTCCTGCCCGTAGCGGAGAGGCGTAGCAGGGCGCAGCGGTGGTATTCGCTGCTGGGATCTCAGAGAAAAGCAGCCCTCGTTGGGACAAGTGGGTGCAGGCTGCGGAGCCTGCCCTTGCCTGACTTCCGCCAAGCTCCGCTACAGGGTGCGAGCTTACTCCGCCCACAGAGATTTTCTTTTCTTTTTTTTTTTCTTTTTCCCTGAGGAAGTCTTTCGTACTCCCAAAGCCCGCATCTTCCCCGGGGAGCGGCCAGCTGCTGTGCCCACAGGGCTGCGTTTGCCCTGGGAGGCGGAAAGGGGTGGCGGGGAGGGAGCGCTCTGTCCTAATGACAAAGTGTACATCTTAATTTTCATTTTTCTGGAAATATTTGTGAGCCACAAGAAGATTTAATGCCCAGGAGTGCGAACATGGTGCTCTCACCAAGTCTAATGTCCTTCAGGTGAATGGCAGACTAAAGGAACGTAACATTCCTAAATAAAACTCTTACTCCATGTGGAGTATAATGCGGTTCACCTCTTTCCGGCTAGAGATTTGAGTGCCCCCAACAGCAAGCTAGATCACTCACTCTTCAAGACTGGCTAATCCTTTAAGTGCCTTAATTCATCAAGTGTCTCCCAGCTTGTGGAGTCACTGAGCATCTAAATTCAGGTACCTACATGGGGTTAGCAGTGCCAGATCTGCAGTAACAGCACTTGCCGTTGATACCTAACTCTGCTTTAGGCCAGCCAACTCCGACAAACTTCCAAGGAAGGCCCAAATGGCAGCATGCAATAAATAGGCTGTAGTTCGGGGGGGAAGAGAGAAGATCATGTTATCTGCCATATCCTTTTTGCATTTTAGCAGACAGTCTGAGCATTTGCTCAGAAAGCAGAACACCCATTTCTAAGCTCTCTTCCCGGATGAAAGACACTTCAGTCCACAACTCCAAAAAACTGTAAATGACTTTGTTACCAGGCTGTGAGTTCCCACAGAGAGAAATCCTCTTCCCGTTTTTGCTGAAAAAGGCTTATTATGCAGAAAGAAATCTTTGAGACCAGATGGAAACAGGAAACGACTTCTAGAGAAAAGATAGCCAAGGGTTTCCAGACAATCCTCCCAGAAATTTGTCTGCATTTTGCATAAGAAAGGCATTACATAATAGAAAACAAGAACAGCTCTATATGGGAGATCTGAACTTCGGGACCCCTTTGCTCCCAGCAGAGTAGGAGAATATCTGTAGTCTGACAGACAGGAAGAAAGCTATATTCAGGGCAAAGATGGAGGTTGGAAAATCACAGCTTTAGGAATCCAGGTGCCGGCTGTGTGTTGGACGGCCCTCAGACTAAGAATGGAGAGCAGTGTGCATATCACCCAACTCATATTTTTTATGTCTTCTTTCATTGCTGGTTCCTGTCGCATAAATTATGCCCTCTGGTTTAGATTAGGGCCTGAGGTAGGGTTAGCGTCTGGAAAAGTATAGCCTTAGAAAACCAAGATCGTGGTGCATTATAGAGCTTCTGTTGGGTATAGTAAACTACATCCTCAGGAATGGTAGTCCGTTCTGAGGCTTGGAGGTCTCTCAGAGGGAGGACTAAAGATGATTTCAGAAGAATCATTCTCTATCAAAGACATAAAGCCAATACATAGAAAACTTAAAGCCAATGCACAGACTACAACAGGGGTATGGTTTTAGAAGCCTACAGACTCTTCTGATGAGACTAGTTGGAGAACATCATAGTGAGAAAGAGGTCAAAAGCAGAAAATAAATGTAAACAAGTGTGCTCTAAATCGGAATGCTCAAGTAAATAATACTGAGAATGTTAGGTACAAGAAACAAAACAAAACAAAACAATGAAAAGGGAAATTGAAGAAAAAAACATGACGTCTTACGAACTGAAAAGCCCTGCAGGACACAGCGGGATCAAAGCTTCTCAGCCTACACTCTGTCAGATTGTAGCTGTGACCCTAACTGTATGCTGAACCCGTAGGCTAGAGGTAAGTGACATAGCAGGAGTCAACAAGGAATGAACGAAGGAGGAGACACATAACCTCCAAGCTGCAGGAAGAACTGGCCTCCTAAGCCTGTACTGTTCCAGGCAGAAAAAGCCACCTTCAACAGTTTGAAGCTGTCGCTCTAATTCTCAGGCTAAGTATAATACATTTCAAAGGAGCAAAATAAATCATTAAAGTTAAAAAAAAAAAAAAAGCCTGGATCACTTGGCATCACTTCTGCTTCTTAGAGTGCCCTGTGTAGCCCCATAGCCTCATAAACACAGCCTTGCCATTGCTGGTAACAGACCACAGACTTTGTATTAAGTTAACACAGGCTTCAGGGCTTGACAGGTATTGTCGGGACTTGTTTGAGCCTGCTGGAGCTTTTTATTGGCTTGTTTAGCTGTAACAGCAATTGTCTAATAGGCAGGTGGCTGTTAACTCATTTGTTATAGTTTTGCGTAGCTTTTTATAATTGCATGGTGTAATGCCTATTGTTAAAAGTTTTGAAATCAATAGGAATAACAAGTAATTGTGCTGTATAGAATGAACTATCTATGACCCTAGACCAGTGATGCAGCATAAAGAAGTAAATGCATGGTGCAATAGCAGTAGCCTTAAAGGTTTGGACATGGGATGATATTAGAGGCCCCGGGGCTCACTCACTGGTGATGGTACTGCAGACTTAGGAGCTGGGCAAAAAGAGTTTTAGGGATAACAGGAAGGACAAGAAACAAGTGTCTATATGTGTAAACTCCAACATATATAATAAAGACGGAATGTAGAATTGCAGGCCAATGAAGAGTGTAGAGTATATCAACAAAAATGACCCCAAGTGGATCCTAGAGCAAAGAGGAAGTAGCCATCAACATCACTTTCTAGGAAAGAGGAGGAAAAATCTGCTACCGTAAACATCACAGTCCTCACAGCAAATATCTCAGGTTGACAGCTTGCTGTGACATTCCCTCCTACGGACTATAACCATTGACATTAGGACCCAGAGGAACAGTGGAGGAGCAAATGAATCCAGAGGAAAAGCCATAGATAATGGAAAGGTTTTTTAGTACAACTTCGATGAAATTTATTTTTTTCAGTACAACTTCGATGAAATTTATTTTTTGTTAAGTGGGTAAGTTAGACTCTATCTAGACTAATATTATTAACAGTTTGTTGTACTTTGGTTATACTGTTGACTGTTTAAATCAGACAAACACTAAAATCTTGGCTTCAAATATAAGATATGATCTCTTTGTTCATAATAAGATTTTAAGCACAGCATGTGTGGCATAAACACATTTTCTGGGTTGCTGTGTATCCGACCGGTAATCTCACCCCTGTCCCTGTGCTTTCGATGACTTCTGGGAATGTATGCATTCCAATGGGATGACAGAAAAGATTCACCACCTTTGATATCACAGCTCTTCATAACTCTTTTTGACCTTCTCTTTTTAAGAACTACGGTTCTGATTCTGCATAATTCCATTTCTTCAGCATTCATTGTGGTATGGACTCTTCCAGAAGGTAAAAGAGAACAGAAAGAATTTGTGGCAAAGATGATTATTTCTTTTACTTACTTTAAGGACTCTTCAGTGTGCAGCATTAACCTACTTAAGGAATGCTCAAGGCTCATAGTTCGCAATGCATTGCCATTAAGTTGTCATTTGTAGTTAGTGCTATTATTACAATACTGTAAGTGTGATTTTGATAGTCCATGAATGCCACTTTTATTTTGATGTGAAACTAGCACCCAAAACCTCACAGTCTTTTGTGTCAGGAAATGTAACGACTGGTTTAGCTTTCTCTGTAGAATTAGAAATCCAACTCAGCTGGCTATGTGAGATCATTTTGTTTATGCGTTGTACTACTTTTACTATATTTACATCAATGTACAAATTGTACTGACATTGTATCTCGCCGTTACATAAAGGACATGAAGTACTGTGCCCCAAACTTAAATATTTCTGAGAAGGCTTCTGTGTTTTCAAGGGCACTAGGGTTTTACTTTTTATATCTGACTGATTACTAATATCAATATCCCCACAATTTCAAGAAACAAACTAAATCTCAACTACTTTTACCTTTTCTGAAATTCAAAAGCTACAACTGAAATGCCTATGAGGACAGTTTCATGACCACTGAGCTGTGATATGCATCACTTCGGTGACAAGATATATCTACACGTATTCTATATTTCCCTTACATAGATTTCTATCAGTCTTTATCTTCTTTCCCCTTTAATTGTTTATTTTTCTTGTCCCTGTATTCTTTCATCTATCTTTGTGCATCTGATTCTAGCAAGCATACAAAGAGATGAAGAGACCAGTACCAGCACTGGCCTCCATTTATCATAACAGAGGAAAAACTTCTATTCTGCCCTTGAGAACTGGTAATAGATCATGTCTTAGAGAAAAAAAACAAGTCACACTGTGATGTACTTACTTGTGCACAGCTTTGTCTTGAAAAACGAAACACTTAACCATCCCGAGGCCCTGATACAGCAAAATCATCAATTACTGAGAATGTGAAAAGACCCATTGAAATCAGTGATATTATTCTGGCATTTTTTGCCCTGCTCTACTAGAGCTACTGTAAAGGGGACCAAAATGGCAAAAGAGGCCACTCAAGAAACACCCAAGGAAGATTTTTCTGCTTGGGAATTACTAAGAATTCTACATTGATCGTAGGAGCAAACAGCAAATGTCAAAAGGTCATGCTCCCTCTCAACCCTCAGTCAGCCGCTCATTCTAATCAATTGAATTAAGGACTTTGCAGTCTGTTTTTCAGTCCACTAGGACATGTAAATCTTATTAGTGTCAATAAAGGTTATAAGCATCTCAGAGAAGATAGTACACCCTCCTTATAATATATATCCGTAAGGTGCACTACATGTCCTAAAACCATTTCTGTAACGTTATATATGACCAGCCATAAACACACCCCTTTCTATAACATTTTAGAAACATAGGAATGGCATATACATCACAAGAGAGCGAGACTCGGATGACAAACTTTGTGAAAGCTTCTTATGCTTGCTACAGTCCATTAAAAAGAAAACATAAATTATGAAGAAGTACATGGGAGGATTACCCAAGACCTAAGACCCAAGGGCATTTACATACTGAAAACCCACTGATCAAAACTTCTAGCTATATTTAACCAGGGGCACAAATCCTGCCCACAGAGGAACAAAAACTGTACAATAAAATGATACAAACAGGGAATGCATCCGTATGGGATCTTGCTCAGGAGATACAAAACTACAATTGGCTGACTAGCAGCCCTCTTCGGTGGCTATGTCTGTGATAGTGGATGTATAGAGAGGAATGAGATGGACTGATATCCTACTTAGTTTATAAGGGGAAAAACATGGCACAGGTGGGGATATTTCTGCAACTTGTATGCTATAATTGTAGCTGTACTGAAGAGCTGCACTCCAAAGAGAAATCAATTCATCCCTCTTATCAACTCCATTTACCAGTAATTCAGGCTCTACCATGCAACCTGTTGTTCTTTGCATCATAGAAATAATTCTGAATGCTTTGAGTCTTTTTTAATAGTATCTTAACTAATATAAAATTAGTTATTTTATTAATGTAAAATTAATGTCAGTAAGAGCTTAGGTGCAATGCTGAGGAATTTAAGTTCTCATCGCTAGGGTGGCATTTAATTCACCCAGCAGTTAACATCCTAAATTCAAGCATCTTGCTCATTCCAAGCATGTAGGCTTCCTCTGCGACAAAAGGAAAAAGGCAGGAACGTCTGTGGAGCTTCTTGGGATGTGACAAAACATGCTCTACCCTGATCATACCATCTAACAAGAAGTTGCCACAAAGTCAAACATAGTTAAAACTAAGATAGTGTACTATTGTGAGTTCAGAGGAATTGAGGCCAGAGTAGCATGTAAGCATTTATCTGTAGCCTCCATAATCCCTCTGAGGTATGAGGTGTTAGTCATTATCAGCACAGCACCTGGCTTTGAAGTAAGAAACCTAAAAATGTTTCTGTTTTTTCTGGAGCACAGGTAACCTGGAAGACATTTCCTACTTACATGTGTTCTGTAACCCCTTCTAGTAAGAGAAGAAAGGGCTCGTCTGATCATATTCATTCATATTACAGAGATTTGTAAAAAGGGAACTTTAATGTCTCACTTTTCTTAAATATATTTTTCTCCCTTTAAAACGGGCACTTTCCTAGTTTGTGAGCTACGTCACAGAACCACACAGAATAGTTGAGATTGGAAGGGACCTCTGCAGATTATCTGGTCCAACTCCCCTGCTCAAGCCAGGTCAGCTAGAGCAGGTTGCCCAGACTGTATCCCCAAGGATGGAGACTCCACATCCTCTGTGGATAACCTGCTCCGATGTTCAACCACCCTCACAGTGGAGAGTGTTTTTTTAATGTTCAGATATAATTCCTTGTGTTTCAGTTTGTGTCTGTTGCCTCTTGCATGTGCACTGGGCACCTCTGAGAAGAGTATGGCTCCATCTTCTTGACACCCTCCCATCAGATCCCCCCTTCTCCAGGCTGTACAGTCCCAGCTGTCTTATGCTTGACTTCATATAAGAGGTGCTCCAGTCCCTTCCCTTAATCATCTTTGATGCCCTTTGCTGGACTCATGTTGCGGTTCGTCCCAGGAGAACAGACACACCCGTTAAAAGGCATATGGGTAAATAACATTTAAACTGGGGGGCATAACTAGACAGGTTCGGGATGGCGGTGTAGGAGTAATTACTGTAATGAAGGGGTTTACAACAATGTCGATATTATCAAAGGTAACCTTTTAATAACAATAATAACTATAACCAGTGAACAATGTACAACTATTCTATTATGCAAATATTTACAGTAGGTTCTGGAATAGGATACAATAATGCAAAGGTGCGCACGTACGCGAACAATAGATCTCAAAAAAAAAAAAAAAGGGAGGGAATAAGAAGTTGTCCGAACAGGCCGCAATGGGTAGTCACGCCTCTCCTGGTACTAGGACCATAAATATGATAGCAAGGCCATATGGATCAGTGCGTCGTCCCCCGGTACTGAGACTGTAAGTAATCAGGCCACACCTGTGGGTGTGCCGTCTCCCAGTGTTGCTACCTATGTGCTTACGGCTCCGCAAAGTGGGCAGAGCTCCAGGCCAGAATGGCGAGGCGTTCGATTCCTTCGGGATCCTGCAGTGGCTCCTGGTTGAACGTCCCAAACCGAGAGGTGGTGGGGTGAGCCCAAGGGAGAAGTCTGCCGCTCCAGGCCTTCTCGTCTGCCGTCCTGCGGCTTCCGACGAAGCCGTGATAAAGGCTGCTGAGCTTTCTTCTGCATGGGTCTTCTCAGCTCGCGCTTCTTTCCGTCGGCTCCAGTATTCACTCCTCCTCCCCACACACCAGCTAAACTAATGTTCTTTTATAGCTAGCCAAAAGGCGAACGTAGCCATACTCATGCCTCCATAACGTGTTCTGACTGGTCACTTTTAGATCCTTAATTAGACTGTCTCCTGGTGGGGACCTGTTTGGGGACAGCTGCGTCTCTTTCTAGAATGTTGGCAGCAGCGGCTACGACCGTGTGCTACGGCTCCTCCGATTGCTTGAGGCCGCTTCATTCGGGGTCATGGAAAGGTCAGTTTGATTGGCAGGACCTAACCCCCATGATACTCTATGGGCAACAAGGGTTAACCGGCTACAACTCGCTCCATGTCCTTCTTGTACTCTGGAGCCCAGAAATGGACCCAGTACTCTAGGTGAGGCCTCACCAGGGCTGAGTAGAGGGGAAGGACCACCTCCCTCGACCTGCTGGCAATGCTCTTCCTCATGCAACCCAGGGACCACTGGCCTTCTGTGCCACTAGGGCACATTGCTGGCTCATGATCAACTTGTTGTCCACCCCCAGGTCCTTCTCTGCAAAGCTGCACTCCAGCAGGTCGGTGCATGAGGTTATTCACCCTCAGGTGCAGGACCCTGCACTTGCCTTTGTTGACCTTCATGAGGTTCCTCTCTGCCCATTTCTCGAGCCTGTCCAGGTCCTTCTGAATGGCAGCACAGCCCTCTGGTGTATCAGCCACCCTTCACAGTTTTGTATCACCTGCAAGACATCAGCTGTAGTCACAGGTGGATCATGTCACGCCGCTGAGTTTTGATTAGAGCTTACCATGGATTAAAAGTTAGTGGATTGTTCAGCTCAACATCAATAACATGATGTATTCTAAGGTATTTTTCCTCATGCTTAGGTTGATCTAATAACTTTTTTTTTCTCTCTTACTGGGCTATCATTGGAAAGCCAATATAAATCTCATTTAGCAGTTCTGTTTAAAACTGATGTTCAATATATATTGTATTAGTAATAGAATAGCAATTAGCAGTTAATATATATGTTGTCTCTTTGAGAATTTCCACTGAATTTTTATGGATATATGCCTGTCAGTGCCTAAGTTTATTCTCTTCCCTATTTCCTTGCTTTTATTTTACATGGCATCAATAATGACCCTGCTGAATAATGTGCCTGTTTAACCTGGGTGCTTCAATTCAGTGTTTACAATAGAGAATAGTCAGAAAAACAAGGGCCATTTGTTTCTCCCACTGAAAAAATAAGCCAGTAGTTAAACGGAGACTGTAAGTAGTGATACTGGCAACATTTGTGTTTTCCTATTAGGTTTTTATAATATGAAAGCTAGATTTTAATGAAATACATTACACATTTTCTCTGCAGTAAAACTATTATTTACTTCTGACAGCTCGTTTATAACCAATTTTTTATTATAAGTAATCTTAAATTCTAAGTACATTTTTATTTTGTAAATCCACAGGAGGCAGAAAAAATACTTGGAATGCTTTATAACAGATATGGGGCTTTGGACAACAGGAACTAGAGAGACAAAGTGAAATTAGCAAGACTCAAAGGAAAGGGAATGAAAAGAAGGACAGGTACATTCCCAGACTAAAATATACCTATTTGTCTCCTTCGAAAACCATTTTTATTTTTGTAATTGTGCATGTTATGACTTTAAAAATCTCAAAACTGAGACCAAGCCTTTTGGTTTTGTTGAAGTGAAACATTTTGATGGATCTCAGTTTCCCTTTTCATATGTGAAGAACTTCCAACATCTATTGCAAACTTAGACAAGGACAAGCGCTGAAAATTGCAGACCCTTCAGTGGTGAGGAATGTCCATTCTCTGCATGGCTGTAGTGAACAGCACTTATTTTCTCAGTGTCAGTTTGCATGCTATTGGAATGATCTACGTGGGCAGAACACATTCAGAAATGTTTCGATAACTCTGACTTTGCACCAGCAGAGAGCAGTAGTACCCCCATCATTAAGGGCTAGATGCTGAAAGGTGTAATCACTCTCTGTTCAGTGTAGGTACTTCATGGGGCCTGTAGGCACTAACTCACTGGTGGAAACTGGAAAGCTCTCTCAAGATCAGGTTTAGTGCTTTATCCTAGTCCTCTTGACTCAGGATCAGCGTAGGAGATAGTGCTCAGTATTTTGCTGTCCTCAATTATGTGTTTCTTTAGGTTGACAGGAACAGTGGGGATTTCTGCTCACAATATTTGCTTAAAATTACTGAGCTCACAAATATGAAAGAATTGCTGCTTTCCCCTTTCAATATTTACCATGGAATTGCTTTTATAGTCTATTTACTGAATTTAGGTTTATTACATCTTCATCCATAAAACAACCTTTACATATATATATAGCTTGGTGTTTACATTAGAGAAAGGTTTCTACCTCTTGAAAAGCCTGTTCATGCAAACAGAAATCTTTTGGTTCCACCGGGCCCCACTAAATGCCTGTTTACATTATCTCTGTGATCTGTAACAACAGAACACCCAGCTGAGCCCTGACAGATTTACAAGAGCAATGAATCCTTGAGGTTAAGATATCAAACATCCACTTGCTAATTGTGACATTAATCTCACCCTGTCTGCTGCTGAGATGTTAATGCTGTGCTAGAGCCACATTGCCATTTAAAGTCATTTCATCCTGTAGTGCAAGTCATGTGGTTCTGACTACTGGTACGGATCCAACAGATGGATTGTGAAGGAGGCAAAAGCAGAAAGCAAAATGCAAATGGACTTACTGATTTTAAAGCATAGCATATTAAAAGATTGCCTCTGATTTTAGATCCCTGGTTCTCAAGCATGCAGAATAAGGTGACAGCTCACACTGTAGTGTAATCAGGTAGCTCATGCAGACATCCAGACGTGGGTGCTGGGAAATGCTTCTCTCTTACCGTTTGCACAGGGCAAAGGTATTTAGACACAGACAAGCAGCTCCTGAAGCAAAATACACTCCTCTGGGTAGAGTGGTGAAGTTCCCTACAAAGTGAGAGGGCAAAATTGAGCGAGTCAGAGTGAGATTGCAAAAGCCGGCATTCTTAAGATGCAGCTCAATGCAATTGGCAGGAAATGCCCTAGAAAGGTTTTGCTAGGAAACAGATTGACTTTTTTAGACTTAAGTGGTGGCCCAGACACCCCTCTCAAAATGAATGTAATACTGAAAAGCCAAACTGTTCTACCTAGGTATGTTTGTGAAGATAAACAATGCTACTTCTAGCACTTTGCTACAAGTAGTCAGCACCTGCTAGAGTTGGGCCCTCGAGTATATTCACTTGATAAATGGGTTCTCCAAAAAGAACAGTGTATAGGATTCGTGAAAATAAGAAAAAGTGCTATAAGTTTGAATATGCCTAGATATTTTCATTTTTTTATGTTAAAATTTTTCATGCTAAAATCACATAACATCTACCTAATGAGAGGGAACAGCAACTTATCGTGTAATTTACATATCCAATCAAAATAGCTCCAAAATCTCCATATTAAGTAGTTACCAAGAAGGGAATGGTTGACAGAAGGTAACGCAGAAAACACATTTCTGAGGAGATGGAACATGTGGTAGGTTTAGAGATGACTGCAAGAATATTGTCATAACTGAAAAAAAAAGGCTTACATATGCTTTCATTGAAAGTTCATATATCAAATTCTAGCAGACATGAGACCAAGACAGAGAAGTCAGGAAAGCTAAAGCCCATTCTAGGGAAGCAGCTGCTTACATCTGGATTTGACTGAGAGCTGTCATAACTGAAAAAAATGTTAACCAAGAAAATTAGCATCTCTTAGCATCAGATTTCTGAAAGGTTCATCCTGTTCTCTTTCTCTTTATCCCTTTGAATAGTTTATTAAGAAGTGGGTCTTTCCTGCTCAAATTGCAGCAGGCACGTGTCATTTTTTTTCACATACGCGTTAATGGATTTGTCTTGTTAGCCTCACTGTTTAGCTTCTACCTCCTCAAGGTTTCAGTGTTGTATGGTATGGTACAATACAAAAGAATAATGTTAATGTAATCAGTCCTGTGAAATGAGATTAATAATGATTGTTTAATCTGGCAGGTTGAGCTAACCACTAAAATAGAAGGTTCCTCATGAATAGAAAAGATTCTATATTGCTAACACTGAATCAAGCTAGAGTTTTTCTTTCTTAGGTTCATTACCTTCCCTTTCTTCCTCAGAGCAAATTGATTTGCAGTGAAACATTCTACACTTAGGCAATTGTGTTTGTCAAAGGAAAAAACATGCAATGGGATGAGGCCAAATCTTGCCTTCAGTTTCTCCCAGACAAGCCTGCGGCCTTCAGTGCAACTGCATCAAATCTCCATTTCGTGTTTTCAAAATGCTAAACAAACATTTGCCAGGTAACCCTTTCAGCTGTATGGGGAGGGATCCAAGTCAGCAATACTAGCCGTAAAAGAAAAAAGCTCAAGTAGAGCTGTAGATTAGTGGTTTCTCCCAAACCTTGTGAAAAGCAATCCAAAGGTTTTTTAACCTTCTGGAAAGGATTTTTTTTCTTTTGCCATTTTCCACTTCCCGTAGGGGTAAGATGACCTGGATAATCATGCTGAATGCACCGGAATCCTAGCACTGATTGAACGGAGAGTCTCTGGAAACTGTATTTTTAACTTTGACCTCTCAGCAGGCTGTCCAAAGTGAGGTATATATTTTAGGCCATCTCTATCTGGAAAAGAACTGGCTAAAACATCTTCGCCTACAAGATGAAACACAGAGAGTCACCTCACATAAGTCAGAACAAAGTGGTGTGCCAAAATGTGCATGTGTGCATACATTCAAACATCTTTATATGAAAATATGAAAGGTTTATGGGTTGCTCTTGATATTTTCCATTACAGTGAGCCTTCCCAGGGGGAAAAGAGGACCAAACCCTCCATCTGTATGTAATAGATATTTTCTCCCAAACAGTTCTGAACTGTAACATCCCATTTTCTACAGCCACAGAAATTACAGAGCAGTTAAGAAGCTGCTAACCCAGCAACATAAACAACACAAAACTTAAAACTCATAATGGCTGGAAGGTTTTTCTTAACTGTAGCTAAAGTGTTTCTTGTGCTTCTCATAACTTATAATAGCTAAACTTTACAATCCAAAATTGTGGGATTTAATGAGATAAGGTTCTTCATTTGCTTTAGAACTTTCTATTTAAGGGATGACTTCCTTTCACTAGCGCCTTGGAGGTTTAGGATGCAGCAGAACAGGTTTGCGTAAGTGTGTACCTGTCTTGCATGCTAGTAGAAGGAGACTGACGTCTGCTCCTAAAAATTAGGTTCCTCGAGTCTACTTAGAATTCTTTTAACATCAACCTCAGATATAAGGAAGCATTCTAGTAAACCAGAAACCCTAGTAC